GAAGTTTTTAAGAAGCATGCCGGCAATCCTGGCATCATTCGTATTTTTAATAGATGGAACACTAATCTATCCTCCAAATACTAAGATTTAGAATAACATTGAGCAGTGATTGATCAGACAGAATCTTCTTGGAATTCCATCATAGTAGTCGTGCCAACATATCACATTGGATTAGTGGTTAGTGTTCTAGTCTGTTATACCGGAAGGTTCGATTCACACCAGAGACACTGGTAAAGAAGCGCACAACAGTCCGGATAGAGACTTAGGTTGTTGTAACAGCTAAAAACTATACAATAAATTAGTTGGGGGGGTTCTACATCAATGTCCAGACCTAAAAATTGTTCTACTTCAACTGGATGGATCCATAAATTCATTGGAAAAAGTGAAGTAAGGTTGGCTGAGGAGTTGAATATGTGGTGGGTATCATGGAGACATGCTGGACATTCGTTGTGTACGGCAAGGTCTGTGCGTGACCAGTATGTATTAAGCCTATTGCTACATCCTGATCTTAGTTATAACAGAACTACTCTTGTTTACCGCGGCAGGTTTTCTTCTGTGTCTGCTATGAGCGGTGGAATTGATGGCGCCTCTATGAATGTCGTTCAAAGATGGCATCTACGATGACTGATCTATTGGATCCTGTATATAACTACATATGACATTAATATGACGATTTAGCCAACATGACATTATATTCCTTGACTGGGAGGATGCCGGCTGCCGGCTAGCGCTTTTTGTACTTCGCAATTTGTGCGTATTTACAGTGGCATGAGCTTCAAAAAAACATCTAATTGTTGCGGGAATGATATGACGCCTTGGATGTAGCAGCGAAAGCGCCGAAAGTTCAATCGGATGTGTTCAAATGGCAATCCTAAGTAAGCAAGAACTGTCTTGTCAACAATACATTACGTTGTCTAACCTACAATACCCTGGTCTCCTCATGTAGATTATTCACATTTGTCGTCTTGACTATTTTGTTGCGATTTGAAGTGCATTGTTTTAGGCCGTTTGTTAACTTTGTCATGGGTGTTGCTGAGTATTGATATCCATACTGGGGCTGCATAATTGAGAAAAGTGCTTTGAACATCGCTATTATAGTCTTCGTATCCATGCTTAATACTATTGTGTTGCATTTTACATAAGATTTGTGGATTCCTAAATTGAAAATGAGCCATTATTGCCGCTTACAAAATTCGATTAGCTCTAAGTAGGAATGATCAATGTCGAAATATTGTCACATCTGTAGTTTAAAATAGTTAGACAGACAATTCTTCGATGAATTAAAGAGTTAAAATAGACCTACAGACTTCATATTTCCAAGATATTTCCTAATACAAATTTACTATCACAATGTTGAATGGATATTTCTTATAAATATTTTATGATATTTTCCTATACTAAATAGTTTATGATCTACTTACCACTTCTTATATTTGAACGAACTTGAGTATTAGCATTACAAACACTACCCTTACGTTGCTGCACCGGATTGCCTGACAATATATTGGCAGCATGTTCACGTCCACGTATCATTAAACTTTCCGGATGATGCCAATTCTTTAATAAACGTTGAGCACGCTGTTTGGGCAGAGCAGACAGCAGTGAGAGTTTCTTTTCAATACCTTCTTTGGAGTCATCGATATCTGTTTAAAGTATTAGAAATTAACACATTATTAAAGGTGATTTAAATACTTGGAATAGTTGGTGACTGATACAGTTAATAACCTACCATTAATTATAGTTTTCATGACATCAACTTGCAATTCAAAAACATGATTTTGAACATATTGTAAAAACATATCGAATGATAGAGCACGATAACCCAAATAGGTGAAGAATGAAGCAAAACCTTGAGGCAAGGGAAATGCTATAGAATCTACCGCTAAGCAATAACGTTCCAATATAAGAAATAGCGAATACTGTTGGCCGTTACTCATTTGATCACTAAAATGTTAAAATAAATTTAAACAACATTTCATTTAAAGATATCTCTTTTTACTTACATCAATTGAAAGCCTCTAGCCGTTTCGTGGCGAGCATCTAAACCAGCTGCCCTACAAACTAGAGAGCAGAGAGAACGTGAAAGATCCAACTGTGAGGTAACATACTGAGAGGCCACAGCATGAACATGAGCCGGAGCTTGAGAACGCTCAAAGAAAGTTTCTTTTAACCAACGAAAACCAGTATTGGGTTTAGAGGAGTTTTTAACCAAATGCACACTTAATTCACGCAGAGTCTGAAAACCAACATGTTTTTTAGAAACAAAAGTATATTTTTTAAAAAAGTTCTACTTACCACTGACATAACATGCTCTTGCTTGGTAGCCGTACATGATTCCATTTCAATAAAAGGCATTACTTCATTGCAAATACGACGACTAGCCGAGGAAAAATCATTTAAATTATTACCAGCAGTACTGGGTGTTTGTGGTGTAGTGCAACGTGAAAGAGCTTCCGGCTGATAGCAGGCCAAAGAGAACATTAGTTTTTCACTAACTTGTTCTACGGTAAAACGTCGAGTAGCACAATTTGTATTCTCTTTTTGTCCAGCTTCATTTAAATGCTCCCACAAACGTGTCCAAATATCAGCTTTGTAAGGCGATAGCCTTTGTTGTGGAGATAACAACATCATGCTGGTATTGTATAAGCTTTCATGCGATATACCCACACTTATATCGGCTACACGAGCTTGTATAGGTTTCGTGGCATCTGCGGTAGTGAGTGGAAGAAATTTGCACATGGTAAGGGCCTCAGTAGGTAGACCACGTAAAGCCGCTGCATAACTACCGGCAACTAGAGACTCTTTTAACAAGGCCACTGTATCCAACGATAGAGGGCGTTCCATTATAATACTTAATAGTTCCGATAAAACATCTAATTGATCATTGGATGAATGCACCAAAAAATGATGTATAATACTGAGACGATTATCTACCGAAGTATCATTGCGAAAAGCTTCAATTAAATGCGAACGTGGTACCGACAGGGATACCAAATCCAAAGTGGCGGTATCATAAGCCAATGAACCCCATTTGCGGCAGGGTACAAGTTGGGTTAGAGGATTACGATTATGAGCCGGACATACTATATGGCAACAGGGTTCATGAGTCAAGCCTACATCCAAAAGATGTACAAATAGATCCGGTTGAAAAACTAACAAATTGTGAGCACCATGTAAAGCGAAAGTAGGCTTAAGTAGACGAGCCTTTTCCCAGGGCACCCCAGGCATAACACAATGCACTACACAACCATGATGTAGCAATGTCACCGAATAAGCAAAATGTACATCAACTTTACGAGCATTAGTGGCTGAAGAAGCTGATGAACCAGCAGTAGAACTACCCGCCGAAGGAGTTTCACTTTCATCCACGTTCTTTGGCTGTATGGGTTGATACAAATAATAATGACACACAAACAACATGCCACTAGGTTCAGCTAATATTATAAGATTTAAAGAAGTATCGTGTACTCTTAGTGGCATAACATCATCCTCATAGGTAGGATCATCATCATTAAAAGATCCTGTAGGAAGCTTGGGTAGATTTAAAGGAATATTAAGCTGAAACAAAAGGTTTATTTTAAAATCTTGATTATTTTTGAATTCCCCAAATATGTACTTACCACAGTTTCAGTGGGTAATTTATCATTAAATTGAAATGCCGACAAAGTGGGACTCATAACATTTTCGGTAATCTCATTTTCATTGTCAGGATCTAGTAGACTAATACTTTTTGCTTTTGGTTTCATGTGTATATAATACAGAGCTTGATTGTCACTATCCCACTGGGCCCAAGTGAAACTTTTTGCTAAACATTCTGATACCAAAATGGAGGTATCCAAATACCAGGTATCTTCTTGTGTAAAATCTAAATTTAATGCTGTGGGATCCTTGGATTTTATGGTGCAAGTAAATTGTAGAATATCTGTAAAGAAATAAATTTTACATTTGTATCAATCATTCAGTTCTAGTAAAAAATTGACATACTTTGTCCATGTGTCATCACCAATAGCTTATCCTGCCACACTTTATCAAAACGATTTTCGGAGCGCCATAAAAATTGTGTCATTACTTGACGACGACTCGGTTGTTTAAGTAAAAATGTATCTATAGCATTATCACCTCCACGTATTTCCACTATATAAGGGAAATAATGTAATACTGATGGTTTAGCCTCCCCAGTTTCATTATCCTCAGACCAGGGCTTTTTGGCTACATATGTTAGCAAACTCAAAGAACTATTGACAGTGGCTTGCACCACATCCACTTGCTCCTTGAGGCGATGTAGAATTCTTAATGTTTTCTTAACAGCATTAAAATGACCTATACAAGATTCCCGCACATTAGTCTCCAAGTGTTCAAACTGCCAAGAGGCTAACATGGAGCCATCTTGTTCTTGGCCTAATACACGCCATTCAATGGCTTTGTCTGTGAAAGAAGATAAAATTTGTTTACATTAGTTTAGTTTTGATGAAATTGTGGATTTTACAAACTTACCCGTATAACCCTGACTGGCTAATAAGCCACAAAAGTTAGCTGCCAAATTTTCTTGTCGTAACATGTTTAGTAGTTTTATAATTTTAATATTTTATAGATTTTTTATAAATTTTAGCATTTTGATGCAGACAGAAATTTTTATTTTACACAAAATCAATAATTTTACATTGTCACAGAGCCCAGCGCCAACAAACATAAACGGCGGCGGCGGCGGCTTAAAATCGACACTAAGCCGGCTAAATTTTCAGCTGTGTTTTTACAATTCACAATTACTTAAATGTTGACACTTGTTCACAGTCAGCTGTTAAGGTAACCATGCTTAAAGTTTATTAATAAATAAATATTAGGGCGCAGGGGATTATTAAAATTTTCCACAAACATAAAATGCTATATTTATAACTTTATTTTTTCTTCTCATAGTAAACCAATTTGATTAATTTTTAAATAAACAAAAAATTTTAAAGTTTATTTTATAAAAGTAAAAAAATTAGTATGAACATAAGAAATTTGTATTAAAAATTTATAGTTTATTTTTAAAGTTTATTTAATTTCGTAAAATATATCTAATTATTGGACTTGCTCAATATAAATTCATGGAATCTGTCTATCATTTCCTGATTGTCTTTGAAGCCTACAATTTCTTTAGCTGCATCTTTAGTCAACCATTTTAGTTCAGTATGTTCCTCAGATAATATGGCCTCCTGTGAGGGATTTTTCAATTCGGCTAGCCAATATATTACAACTTTAGGTTTACCTTTAACCTCGTAGTTGAGGGAAATTGGGTTGTCTTTATATATGATCAAATCATTCTCTGTATATCTGGAAAAACATTTAAGTTAAAATTAGTTAAAAATTTGTTCGTAATTATTAGAAATCATTTGCATTTCACTTATCGCTGATCAAATCGAAAGTTGCTTAAGATACTTAAGCCAAGAATCCTTTGGTTTTGATAACGTTGTCTTACTAGTTTTGCGAGTAAACGTTTTATGTATATTATAACAACTTAATAGCAAAACTGCCAACACTCACCCGGCTTCTTCCCTAGTCTCACGAGCAGCAGTAGTATAATCATCTTCACCTGGGTCAACATGACCTTTCGGTGAACTCCAATGATGATCACCGTAGGATGCTTTTAATAGTAAGTATTCTATTTCATCACGTAAACGACGAAATATAACAAATCCAGCAGCTCTTTTAACCATTTTAGATTTAAATAAACAAATTAACTCCAATATTAAGAAAAAAACCAAATCCAATTATAAACAACAGCTGACAACATTTATTAAAAACAAGAATAAATAACAGCTGTTTGGCTATTGTGAATTGTATATATTAGAGATGACACTTTTAAGGAAACGAAAAGAAAAGTAAAAAATAAAACCAAGAAAAAAACACGAATTTTTCAATCAAAACAAACATAATTATGATAAATAAATAAATTACTAATCCAAGATTGTGATAAGAATTCTAGCTTATTTTGTTAAAAAATAGCACAAACCATAGAAATGAGTAATTAAGAAAAAACTCATCTTAAGCACAAGACATAATGTAGTTTAGTGTATTTGAAACCCACCTAGAAATTTTGTGTACAAAAATGTTAAATCTCAGTCTTAATAAATGGAAAAAGTTATTAATTTTAATCATACTAATTGCCTTGTTTGTGCTTATACTGGGACAATTATGGCAAGATCATGATGAAAAGAAATTACAAGTTAAGGGAAGAGCAGATGGTGTTCCCTTAGTAATATGGTGGACACCTTTGATGAGCGGCTATACGGAAACACGAATGTGTGACAAATACATTTGTAAATTTACAGCGCTAAGAGATGAAGCGGACAAAGCTAAGGTATGTTAGTGGGAACTACATTCTTTAAAAAACTTATAAACTTTTTTCAATTTTAAGGCCTTTCTTTACTATGGTTCCGATATAAAGATTGATGATTTTCCCTTACCACGTCAGTCTCATCAATTGTGGGGTTTAATGCACGAAGAATCTCCACGTAATGTGGCATTTATGCCATACAATGATTGGCTGCAACACTTTAATCTTACCTCCACCTTTAGCCGTCACAGTGATTTACCCATGACCACTTATTATTTGCCACATTCCGATAATTTAACTACACCCACCTTTACTATTCCTATTGGAGAGAAATCTAGACATAAAAACCAAGCACTTGTTTTATTTATGCAATCCGATTGTGACACTATGTCCGGGCGTGATGATTATGTTAAGGAATTGATGAACTACATCAGTGTGGATTCGTATGGAGCCTGTTTAAATAATAAGGAATTACCAGAAAGGTAGAGTGAGTTCTTTTTTAGATTTTGTAAAAATTAAGAACATTTCATTCTCTTTCAGTTTACAAAAGATACAACAAGATTATCTTAATCATTTGTATGCTCCGGAACTTTTAAAATTCATGGCTCGTTATAAGTTTATCATTGCGTATGAGAATGGTGTTTGTGAGGATTATATTACTGAGAAGTTTTGGCGTCCTCTCATTGCCGGTTCCATACCCATTTACTTTGGTTCTCCTAGCATTAAAGTAAGTACATATTAATTACTAAACTTTAATATATTCATTCAATTTATCAAATTTTTTAGGATTGGTCACCAAATGAAAAATCATTTATTGACATTTCAAACTTTAGCAGTCCCGAAGCATTAGCTACCTATTTAAAGGAATTGGATGCAAATGATAGAGCTTATAATTCCTATTTAAATCATAAATATAATATGCTCCAACCGATAACCAATAAGCGACTCTTAAATGAACTTGGACGTCGTAAATCTGCCATGTACACAGACAATCAATTTCAAAGTTTTGAATGTGCCGTTTGTTCCTATCTGCATGAACATGATGACACTACACAAAAACACTTTGCCAATGAACAGCACTATCAGTGTCCCCATGAACCTGTATATCCACCCATGTCGAATAAGGCCTCAAATTATGATGATTGGCATTCGGTGATGTCGATTGGTAAATGTAAAGCTGCTCTATTGGATAAGCTATTTAAACGTAACAAAAATTATACCAAAGACGAATTTATGGATTTATTGACTAAGGAAGTAACATTGGGCAAATGTTAAATATATATTATATAAATGTCTGTAGTATTTATGTGTAAAGGAAATGGTGTTTTAATTGGGTGGGTGATGGTTTGAAATGGAAAGTCGAATAGTCGACATTTCTTCATTAAAAAGTCGAAAAACCGACTTTTCAATTTTTTAGTCTGTGATACCCTGATTCTACAAGACAACTGACAGTCAGCTGATTAGGCACATGTCACCAGAGACTTGCGCCGATTCGGCTTAAGCCGACTAAGCCTAGCCGCCGAACAAAATGTCAAAGCCGCCGCCGCCGAAAATTTTTCAGCTTAATACGGCTTGAAAATTTCGCCATATTTTGTACAATTTACAGAACACTTTCGCTAAATTTATGGAATTTTGCAATATAAAATTAATTTGTTTTTATTTGAGCAAGTTTTCTTTTATCTAATAATAAGCCGCTCATTGAAATTTGGCCGGTGTAGAACTTTGCTCAACGTTCGATGTATATGCTTCGCCTCAGATATTTTCGTGTTTTACGCGCCTAATTCGAGTCGCTGCTTTTACTTCAAACCAGCTTCGTTGACGTCAACGGAGCTACACCTTTTTACACTGCTGGTATGTCATACCGTAATAAAGGGTATCGAACATGTGTATTTTAAATGGGAAGTGCAGTTGATGTCAATTCTGCCGACTGCGAAAAGAAATTCTGCTAGAATTTTTCGCGCCAAACTGTTTTTATTTGCAAAAAAAATCTGTTGTTGTGTGTGTGCAAAAATCTAAAATGACAGAAATGATATTCTTTAAATAATTTTACTAACAATTGAAATTAATAAGATTGTATGCTATACTACTATACCGAGGGTCTTTGTGCAAAGAAACAGCAAGTGTTGAGTTATTTAGTTAAATGGTTAATAACTATGATGAAAATGTTTTTTAAGGCGGGGTTTGTTTTCGTTTAATACCCAAAAGTGTTTATTAAAATCTACCGGAAAGATTTGGCATATTTGTGAGATCTAGAAGATTAAAAAACGTAAGTAATGGTGTTAATTAATTAATTGTCTATAAAGAACGTCTTTCTTTTCAAGAAAGAGGAGGCATCGTGATGCTCTCCTGGAAGAATGCCCACAAGAGAGTGGCAATTGTATACCTCCCTAGTCACCTAGGCGGGTGGTGGTCGGTCGGCTAGTGGTGACATGGTATATTATCACCTAGAGGCAATGGACACAAGCTGATTGCCGTATTCAGGGGGTATCCAGAGCGCGATGTCTGTCTGATGTGCCTTTCAGTGAAGCTCTTGTTGTCTCCAAACACTATGGTGGCCGAATATTTACAAGAAACAATTGTTAAGCCGCCTTTTATACAAATTTATAGCTTTGTAGAGAATGTCTTCACGGACTTATAGGATATAACCTGGCTAGGTATGTAGATGTTGTTTGGGCAAAATATTGGTACTAACCATTGTGGGCTTTATGTCGACTTTAGATCCCTTATAATTGTCACACTACACCCAATCAGCATTCTTGCTGGAATTAAAGTTTAAAACAAGTTTAATTCCAGTCAAACATTCCAATTTCAAGTGTTGAAATACACTTTCATTACAGTTTAATTCAATAGCATTCTCCAGTGAAAAGGAAACTTGAATTGAAGTCGAACATTACAATGTTTTTACAATATAATTCAATGCACGAAATCTATATACATACGTACAGTGAATCAACAAAGTTTTTTGCCTACATTTTTTTTAAGAGAATTTTATTTTTTGTTCATAAATAAAATTCGAAAAAACAGGTAAAAAGCATGATACAACCATAGAAAGGTAGAATCAGTAGGGAGAGTTGTCAATTCTCTGCCTTGTTAAGTCAAACAAAAAAGAACTATAAAGAGAAAAACTTAAAAATCTTCAAATGAAAACCACGAAAAATACCATGAAATGATTCTTGAATGGCACACGCAAACAGCATTCCACACTTCTGTATCCTGTTTTTAATTTTTATTGGTTTTACAATCTTTTTGATTCAAATTATTCAATTTTATTTTCTTAACAAAAATTTTTCAATAATTTTTATTTGATGTTTTTTTTATATTTTTTAATTTTCTTTTTTGTGACAATTCAAGGCATGTAAAATTGAGAACGTACTTTTCTACTGATTCTACCTTATTATTGTTTTATTATGGGTAAAAAGTAGATTTATGTTTTCCAATTAAAAATAGAATTTGTGTAAAATGGGAAAACCATGAAAAATATTAAAATACTAATTTTGGTGCATTTGTTGTTGCATTTTATTATTTTTCATTAGAATTTGCAGGTCAATAAAGTATTTTGCATTTAGAGTTAATTTCGTTGGGTTTTTCAAATTATTTTTTAATTACTTTTTGGAATTTTCTGTTTTATTGTTAAAAGAACGCGTGTTAAGTATTTTTCAATTGCAATTTGCAAAAATCATATCCTCATTGTGTGAAACTGTGATGTTATTTGCCTTAAAAATGTTTAAAGGAAAATGATGCAATTTCAATATAAAAAAATAGTTTATATTTCTAGAACAAGTGTAAATCAATGAAATATAATTATGAGATGTTTAATCAATAACATAAAAATAAAATAGATATAAAATAGAGTAATTGATGAAATGATCCAAAGAATTATTAGAAAAAACGCACTGAATGGTCTTTCAAAATCTTTAACTGCCAAAGGGAGGCGACTTGTATCCAAGGAAAACCATTGGACTCCTGATTTATCTTTTCCAAAATCCATATACGAACTAGGAGGAACACTATGTTTAAATTTTAGACCTCTAAACAGACCGTAGGTTGCTTGGAATCAATGTAAAGTGAACTGTCGTGTAGTACAGGAAAATACCTAATTTAGATATTTTAAAATAGAGGTGGTTATCATCACCTAAGGTCAACAAAAGTAATATTTTTCAGCTAATACATACACTTATATATATTTAGAACCCAAATCAAGAATAACTCTCCAGATCCAAATTCGACTACTGTATATTATTCATAAAATAAAGCATTTAAAATATGAGGTTGAAAATCAAGATTTTAGCATGTAATAGTTCTATAGTGGTATATGGTGATGTCCCCATACTAAGAGTGGCTAGGATGGTACTTAGTGTTAGATTTATTGAATAAGAATCAATATTCTACAATTCTAAATAAAAGTTACACAGTACTCCCCAAATAGATGGGGTTTCCGTAATGTAGTTTATGTTTATCAATACAAAATGACCAAAAACCCAGATTATTTTTGTTATAATA